TTCCAGGGGCTGGGAAAGATGGTGAAGTCATCCCTGGAAAGGGGAGGAGTCTGAGCAGGTTATAGCACAGAAAGAGGGAGAAGGGATCTCAGAAACCTTCCCAAAAATCTGCATTGTGACTCCACGGCCCCCGCTCAGAGGTGGTGCTCCTGCTGATCTTGGAGAAGAGTTCTTCTCTCTGGGTCTCCATCCTCCCCTTTCATAGTAGTGTGAAGGGTTGCATGTCTCCTTGAACTTCATGGTTGAACAGAAGTTTAGCCTCCAAGCCACTCAGCTCCTGGTCCAGCCCCTGGCTAGCACCTGCCGGATTACCACCTGCTCAGAGTTCACCGTGCGTTGAAAAATATCCTCAATCTGGCCACCAGGGGGCAGCCACACCCAGAAGTCCTCCTATGCACAGGTAAAGGGACATACAAAATCCAGCATTTTTGGAAATACTCTGATATATTCGGCTACTGCTTTACTGACATCAGATCTACACACTGACCAATGTATTGAGGGCCCAATTGCTCTAAATCTTTCTCGTATTTAGATTTGCTTTATATATCCAATGACTGCATGCTTAAAGAATTTACCAGTCCTTTCCAATCTATTTGGCCAGTGTACTTTCCTTGGTTCTCAAGCCCTCTTAGATTTTGCTTATCTCCCTCAGCCTGATTTACAATTTATGCCTTACGTGTGCCCGAAGAGAAGCCACCCGCTGATGTGGGTTTAAGATAGCACTCACATGGCTTTGCCTAGTGATTCAAAGATTATGGAATCCGTAACATTCCTCTTGGCCAGCTGATCTCTAACTCTTACAGTGGCTCCTATCGAATTGTGAGTGTTCTGAGGGGACCTAAGCTCAAAGGTAAGGCCAGAGGCAGCATTTCAAATCACATCCTCTCCACTTGTAACTGCTTCTTTGTGGCTCCATCTGCTCCTCTTGTTTTTTGAGTGACTTGGTTCACATGCTGGATTACTCTGTCTCTAAACAGACACCTGGATGTGCAACACAGATGATTTTAGGATCATTTTTGAGAATAAACTGTCTGATATCTCATTTAAAATTTATTGGCTTGAATAAAGTCAACAAACTCGAGTCTTTTTCCCTCCCGTAACGTTCACAACGGCCAAGAGCGATTAGCTTTCCACGCACTGTCCTGCCGGTCCTTTCTGCACCTAGGAGTCCTTGGCTGATGAGGCATGTGGAGGAGGGTGAGGGCTGGAGTTAAGGAAGCAGAGAGTAAGCTAGCTTTCTGCTTAAAGCAACCGGTGACCTTGGGTGTGTCCTTGAACCTTGCCTAGCATCTGTTTTCCCCACCAGTGTTTGGCTAACCTTCACAGAGCTCTTCAAAGCCGGCTCTCCAGGGAATTGCAGGCCACATATCTATTCTAGAGAAGTTTAAAGCCGCGCCC